CATCTGAGGAGGCCTTACAAATAGCTGTGAAAAGAAAGGGAAGCGAAAAGCAAAGAAGAAAAAGAAAAATATACCCATTTGAATGCAGAGTTCCAAAGAATGGCCAGGAGAGATAAGAAAGCCCTCCTCAGTGATCAATACAAAGAAATAGAGGAAAACAATAGAATGGGAAAGCCTAGAGATCTCTTCAAGAAAATTAGAGATACCAAGGGAACATTTCATGCAAAGGTGGACACAATATAGGACAGAAATGGTATGGACCTAACAGAAGCAGAAGAGATTAAGAAGAGGTGGCAAGAATACACAGAAGAACTGTACAAAAAAGATCTTCACAACCCAGATAATCACAATGGTGTGGTCACTCACCTAGAGCCAGACATCCTTGAATGTGAAGTCAAGTGGGCCTTAGGAAGTATCACTACAAACAAAGCTAGTGGAGGTGATGGAATTCCAGTTGAGCTATTTCAAATCCTGAAAGATGACGCTGTGAAAGTGCTGCACTCAATATGCCAGCAAATTTGGAAAACTCAGCAGTGGCCACAGGACTGGAAAAGGTCAGTTTTCGTTCCAGTCCCTAAGAAAGGCAATGCCAAGGAATGCTCAAACTACCGCATAATTGGTATGGTACTCGTCTCACCAAATCTCACACGCTAGTAAAGTAATGCTTAAAATTCTCCAAGCCAGGTTTCAGCAATATGTGAGCCATGAACTTCCAGATGTTCAAGCTGGTTTTAGAAAAGGCAGAGGAACCAGAGATCAAATGGCCAACATCCGCTGGATCATCAAAAAAGCAAGAGAGTTCCAGAAAAACACCTATTTCCACTTTATTGACTATGCCAAAGCCTTTGACTGTGTGGATCACAATCTACTGTGGAACATTCTGAAAGAGATGGGAATACCAGACCACCTGACCTGCCTATTGAGAAACCTGTATGCAGTTCAGGAAGCAACAGTTAGAACTGGACATGGAACAACAGACTGGTTCCAAATAGGAAAAGGAGTACGTCAAGGCTGTATATTGTCACCCTGCTCATTTAACTTATATGCAGGGTACATCATGAGAAATGCTGGGCTGGATGAAGCACAAGCTGGAATCAAGACTGCTGGGAGAACTATCAATAACCTGAGATACACAGATGACGCCACCCTTATGGCAGAAAGTGAAGAGGAACTAAAGAACCTCTTGAAAGTGAAAGAGGAGAGTGAAAAAGTTGGCTTAAACTCAACATTCAGAAAACGAAGATCATGGCATCCGTTCCTATCACTTCGTGGGAAATAGATGGGGAAACAGTGGAAACAGTGGCTTACTTTATTTTTTGGGGCTCCAAAATCACTGCAGATGGTGATTGCAGCCATGAAATTAAAAGACACTTACTCCTTGGAAGGAAAGTTATGACCAACTTGACAGCATATTAAAAAGCAGAGACATTACTTTGCCAACAAAGGTTCATCTAGTCAAGGCTATGGTTTTTCCAGTGGTCATGTATGGATGTGACAGTTAGACTATAAAGAAAGGTGAGTGCTGAAGAATTGATGCTTTTGAACTGTGGTGTTGGAGAAAACTCTTGAGAGTCCCTTATACTGCAAGGAGATCCAACCAGTCCATCCTGAAGGAGATCAGTCCTGGGTGTTCATTGGAAGGACTGATGTTGAAGCCAAAACTCCAATACTTTGGCCACCTGATGCGAAGAGCTGTCTCATTTGAAAAGACCCTGATGCTGGGAAAGATTGAGGGCAGGAGGAGAAGGGGACGACAGAGGATGAGATGGTTGGATGACATCACCGACTCGATGGCCACAGGTTTGGGTGAACTCCGGGAGTTGGTGATGGACAGGGAGGCCTGGCGTGCTGTGGTTCATGGGGTCGCAAAGAGTCAGACATAACTGAGCGACTGAACTGAACTGAAGCTTGCATTCCTGGGATAAACCCAACCTGGTCATGCTATATTCTCTTTTTAGTCGATTGCTAAATTCTATTTGCTCATGATTTCTTTGAGATTTTCTCATCTGTGTTCCTAAGTGAAATTAGCCTGTAATGTTACTTTTGCTTTCTCAAAGTGTTCTTGTTGGTTTTAGATATCAGTGTTATATAGTGTTATACTATCTCACAAAATGAATGGTTCCTCTGACATGTCAAATTTGAACATGTTCAAAACTGGAGCACTGGTCTTCTAGCCCAAACATGCTGCATTCCAGAGTAAGGGTAATTCCATCCTTCATGCTACTCAAATCAGAAATGTTGGTGTTGTCTTTTTCTCTATTTCTTTCATATCCAACCCATCAGAAAGTCCTGTTGGGGCAGTCTTCAGAATATCTTTGTACCAGCCCAGTGTTCCACTCTATCCCGAGTCACAGTCCTCTCACTCTTGAATTATCACAGTAATCTCCCTGGCCGCCTGGAGCAGGAGTTGGCTAACTTTCTGTAAAAGGTCCAATGATAAGTATTTTAGACCTCACAGGTTGCATGGTTTCTGTTGCAACTCTACAATTCTGTTGTAATACTGAAGCAGCTATAAACAATACATAATAAATGGGCACAGTACTGTTTTGGTGTAGTTCACCAACGCCTCCCTCTAGGGTAGGCTATTTGCAATACTGATGACAGTAATCCTTTAAAAATGTAAATCATATCAGGTCACTCATCCATTGAATTTCCTCCAGTGACTTCCTGTCTCGCTCAGAGTGAGACAGATCCTTACATGGCCTGATCTATCACCTCTTTACTTTAATCTCAATCTCTCTCTCCCCCTCGCCCCTTCTCCCCGTCTCCACTGTCCCACCCCAAGCTCCTTCACGATTCCTAGAACAGGCTTGCCCTGCTACAGGGCATCTGCACTACTTAACCCCTGTCATAATGACTCTCCCTCCAGCTGTCGACCTGACTAACTCAACTCTTTCTAAGTCTTTGATCAGACATCACTTCTTAACAAGGCCCCCTCTGGAAATCCTACTAAATGTCCACTTTCCATCCCTTCCCCTGACACCCTCCATTTTCTTTACTCAGCTCTGTATTTTCCATAGCACTAATCACTTTCTGACACACGCTGTAACTAATTTTTGAAATATGTTGATTGTCTGTATTCTCCCCTTCAAAAAGTAAACTTAATGAAGGTTTTAGTCTATTTTGTTTGTTGCCATAGCTCCAGTGACTTGAGCCTGTCTTAGAGTAGGCGCTAAATAAACATTTATTAGATGTATGGTGGTGGGTGGATAGATAGATGGGTGGATGGATGAATCAACGTAATGTCATAGACTAGAATTTCCTGGAGTGTACACCTTGGAACATTAGTTCTCTAAAGCAGAATGATACTAATAGTTGGGATCAAGGTAACAAAATTCTGCTCATCATTAAATTCTTCAGTGGAATTTTCTCACCAAGTTATGGGCAATAATTCACAGGAAGTATTCAAGCATAGCTTAGAAGCTAATGATTAAATTCCAAAAATCTGCAAGTTATTCTTACACCAGGTTGGAGACTGGCTGATAAGTCTCCTGATATTTCCCGTACTCAGGCCATTCCAAAATTCTGTGATTCCTCCCCAGTTACTTATTAACAACAGTGATAATATCATTTATTCAGTTTGTGACAAGCACTTGTGTATTGCTAACACAGGTAATTTTCAGTAGCATATGTCAATGTCATATAAAGCCAGTATTATTTTCCAGTTTAAATTTTCTTCTTGGTGAAAAACTGGAGACCCTAGTAGGAATTATTGGCCAGAATATTCATATACCATGAAATATTTGTATCTTGGCTAGAAAGAAGCTATTTCTCAAAGGAAAGGGAACAGTAAAGTCCTAGCACAAGTTGCTAGGTGAACTATTACAGCTCAGGGGGCCTCTCTTTTACATGAAATCTTTAGAAAATTTTTAACTAATGTTTATGTTTCCCATTTTTGTTCTTTGAAAGAATACAAAATATGTCATTGCTTTTTTTTCCTTTTTATTTTTTAAACCAAATATTACCTGTTAAGCACCAGGTCAGCATGCATACCTAGTTATATGACCATTTGAGTGAATGCTCTAAAATATAGTAATTACTCTTCTACTTCCAGATGTTATACTTAGGGGTTTAACAGAGACATAAGCAAATACATAGAGTCCTACACGTTTTTATTTAGTTGCACTCCTCAGATTACCATCTGATATGGATCGGCTGCATAACACACTGGTGAGGAGGGGGTGATGGGGTAAAGACAGGGGCAGGAAATACTGGCTTTTACATTTGGGCATCACTCACACTTGTCAGAGTATATTGACACACTACTAATAGTGCAGATGTAATGCCCTGAAGTTAAATTATGTTTCTTTCCAAATTAATAAATCTTTACCCATTAACTAATCAAAAATAATACTGTATACAATCAGTATAAGGATTTTGCTTTTTTTCTTAGGCTATTTTCATTTGTTTCTTCTGCATCCCTTTAACGGAATGTGTAGGTCTCTTGAAAGGTAAGGTTCAAGTTTACAAGTCTGGCCTGCACTCAATAACACAATGATTTGAGATGCAGGATTTTGCTTCTTGCTCAGAAAAACAAAAATCCATATTTCACACTTAACCAAAATCATTCTCCATTCATATCCAAAGAATCAGAGATATTATGCAGTTTGACATACTAACTTCTCTACCGTAAACTTTTACACCCTTTTGAATTCTACTAAAATAGTGATGATTTGCAGCTTTTTTTCAATTATTCCTTTGGTAATGCTTGTGACAATTTGTGAGTTGCTTCCAAATCAGGGGTCAGAATCTGTCACTGATAATTGACATCACCCTGCGAAGCCACCCACCTTTCGAAGACTTCATGATTAAACCATTTCTGCACTCAACTTTCATTCCAACCACATTCCGGTCATTGAAGGCCTCCTGACACTTAGGTTGGCCTGGAGAAGCTCAGGGCGCCAAATGCTTTCTCATAATTTGCATGCCTGATCTTTGAGAACCAAGCATTTTACCTAAGTGCCCATCTTGACGAACATGTTTTATCTTGTTTTTTCCAGTGATGCGGAAGACCACAAGCCTTTAAAAAAAGGCAGTCGAACACCTTCAGACAGGACTGTGAAAAAGGAAGATAGCGATGATAGCCTAGTTGACTATGGAGAGGGAGTGAATGGCCAGTTCAATGAGGATGGCTCCTTTATTGGACAGTACAGTGGTAAGAAAGAGAAAGAACCAGCTGAAGGAAACGAAAGCTCAGAGGCACCATCTCCTGTCAACGCCATGAATTCATTTGTCTAATTTGTGAGCTCTTTGCCAATATCCAGCTTCTCTCAAATGTTTATCTTAAAAAGCACTTGTCTGTCCGCCTTCTCATACTATGAACATAGAGGCAGAAAGTCTATGTGCTGCTGGGTGTTCATATGATGAGAAATGTCAAAGCAAGAACGTAACTCAGTCAAATGATATCTTAATGTGAACTGCAGTGCAAAGTGCATACTTTTTCATTCAATATAGGTTATCTTGATTTCCTAAGAGCTGATAAAAAAAATAATACAACATCATCAACAGATCACCTTCTACCCGCTTTGGGATACAGTTCAATAGGTTGCATGAAAAATGCTACACCTTTAAAGGATATACCTGTGTATGTTACTCAAACATCGGTTGGTACTTTGTTTGGTACTCTCCTCCGCTGAACCCCTAAGTAGGAATTCCGTTTTCATTGTCAAGAGTGTTACTGTAGTATTCTCTAGAACTTCAATGTCTTTGTGGACATTGTCATGAAATTGGTGACTCTATGTCTAGCTGTCGTTAGTCTTTTTGGGAGACTGTTAGGAACCATATACAATATATACTTGCTAAATGAGTTAATTATGACAGGTACATTTGCTGATGCTTACTGAGACCCTCTTACCTGCTCTTTGCTCCTCTTACTCCATTGACCTCTTAATCATCAAGGTATTATATTGGTACAGTGTTCTACTTTTTACATCCTCTCTCCATTCTGTTCCATGATTTTTAGGCATAAACAATGTGTATCGCAATGCATTTTGGCACTTGTGCCAGATCAAGAGAATCTCAAACAGGTCACTCCAATTAAATTTCAAAAATTATTCCAGAAAGCACAGGGCAAGACATATGCAGTGCCTTCAGATGATAAGCATTCCACAATATACTGCCTTCTATATCATTTGGTACAGTCAACTTGGAGTCCTAGATTACTGTCATTGTCTAAAAGTCACTTGAAAATGGCAGAGTTCATGAAGATGGCAATGTTGGGGTAAAAGAAGGAACTGTGACAGTAAAATGAACACAATTTATTTTAAGGAGAATTTTCCCCCATATGTATAAAAAGAAAAGTTTTATCACCAACTGGAGCATATGATGATTTTATGGTCTCTTATGGTTTCTATTAAAACAAGTCACATTCAGTAAGAAAGATGTCAACCTGGTAGAAATTTTTTTAAAACTTATTTCAAAAACACCTAAAGCAAACCAACAGGATTATATTTTTCTCTAAGTCATTACCTATGTGGCAGCTTTTGAAACTCTGCGGCATTAAACAGTGTGTATGCAAATTACATGGATGCCTTGCAGAATCTGAGAAATCTGACAAGTGCTAACAAGGTCAACAGTCAAAGGGATTACATCTGTGGTTTTGAAAATAAGCATATATATTCTACTGGCTTCATAAGTAATATCTATCAAATGGTTTCCTTCCACATATGAAATTCTATAGCAACCTATGGTTGAAGGAATGCTCAGTTTCATTTGCCAATAAATTGGTTTCTCATAACTTGCATCAAGTTTAATTTTAAGTAAAGCTTTTTATATGTAGATATTTTGTTGAATTTGTAAATACACTTAGAGTGTAGATGCTATATGCTTAGCAGTGTTACATACAAATAAACATGCCAACAATGTTTATGTTGTACTGTATAAAATGTTAGCTAATTAATACAGTGCGTGGGATTGGAAAGCATTTACTTAAATGCCTTCTGGGGTTTTATTTTCTCTTTTTGCTGTGAAAGTGAAAGAGTGAACTATTTTCCATACTGACAGCAGGTTTCTAGAAGAAATTTTCAGAGCTTTGCCGAAGCACAGTTTGAAGTAATCCCAGGTAAAGATGGCCCTACATAGTTTAATGTCTCCAGTATTCACTTTTCACAGATCAGCCTTTCTTGTGGAAATCCAGAAAGACCAGACAGGCTTGCCTGGCATCAGAGAGCACAAAGATAAGTTACTTCAAATTTACCAATATATAGGAGTTGGGAGCAGGGGACAGTATAGTTTTTCCTCTTCCACAGTGGTAGATGCTAAATTTATCTGTGCATGAAGGGGTCATTTCTGTACTAGTGCAACAGAGTTTGTATTAAAAATTAAATGTGGTTTTAAAAGTCCTTCTCTCTTTTGTAATATATCATGTTCCTAGTGGAATATGAGTGTCCGAGTAATGGTATATGTAACAGTATAGGCAGATGTGACTGGATTTCCATCAAAAAAGTAACTATTAAAGAGTCATGATCTCTTTGTGATTCTTAACTTCTTCAAACCTAGAGTTCCTAATGTTTTATTTTATTTTATTTATTGGCTGCATCACATTGCCTGAAGGATCTTAGTTCCCTGCCCAGGGATCAAACCTTGGCCCCTGGCAGTGGAAACTCGGAGTCCTAACCACTGGACCAACAGGGAATTCCCCTTAATGTTTTAAAATATAATGCAGAGTTTGATTTTTGCTTTTAAAAGGCAGAGAAAAAGTTAAATGAAAAGCTAAACAATATGAAAAAGAGCTAATAAAAGAGGGGCATATCAAACATTGTAATGCAAAGCAGGAATAGATATTAACCAGCCTTTGGAGAAACAGCCTGAGAAGTTAGATGCTGCTTCCTTTCCTGAAGCCCGATCACCACAAGCCTGTTCCCTGTTGTCATCCTTTCTTCTGCCCACCTGGACCTCTGCCATCTCCAGCCATGGCAACTGGATTCCTTAACTTCTCCTGCTTGATGAAACAGCTTGAGTATGGACAAGTAGCATTGACGGATGTGTCATCCACCCCCTTCTCAGCAGCCCAATTCTTCTTGAGACTCATACCTGTCCAGCTCTGCAAATAGCCAAGACCTGGCTTGTTCCTCCATCTGCCCTTGGTCCCAGCTTTCTACCCATAAGACCTTGTGCTGGCACAGAGCTCCCCCTCCCTACACAGTTACTTGGATACCAATGTGATAAGTGCATCAACTGAACGATGCTAATAGACCTTATGTAGACCTTAGTCCTTCTATCCTTTTTTTGTGTGTGTAAATTTAAATTTTATTGAAGACCTAAGATGTGAAAATTCTAAAAAAATGTAATTGGTATTTCTGTAATTTAAAGTATAATGATTAATTTTTACAGCAAGCCTTTTTTTATCGTTCAGTTCTTTAACATCTACGTTTATAAATTGACTTCACAAGCTGGATAAGACATTAGATAATTGATATAACCCAGTGTAACCTGGCTTACTTTTAATGTCTGATAAAATAATTGGAAATCGCTTGTGGAGGCAAAGGAAAGAAATGTGAAGAACTGAGACTTCTCACCCCAACTAAGCATCTCTCTCCTGCTCATGAGATTTTTCTACAAGTTGCCACCAGAGGGCTCCCGAACCTTATTCAATGTGAAACAAAACAAAAAACCGGGAAAACAGCCTCTGGAGAAATAGTGCCAACGACCTCTGATAATCAGACTGGACCTGATCATGCAGAAAATGATTGCCTGCTGTAACTGGGAGAAACGGAGTTGGCAGCTTTCTCTGAGGAGTTCACAACCTCCAGGGAGCGCGTCTGTGTCACCATGAGCCTCATCAGTATCTCCTTCCTTGTATGGTGGCCAGGTGGCTGCTGGCCCATCAGCAGAGCTAAAGGATTAGGAGTCGGCCTCCTGGCTCCCTCCAGACACACCTCACCTGCAAGCTGGTGGTTGCGAAGGAGGGGCAGGATCCTAAAATGGTTCCTCCCCTTTCTGCCCATCATGCCATTTTGGCTGCCACAAGTGGTTTGATATTTTGTGGCTGGTTAACACAGTAAGCACAGTTTAAGCACAGACAGTTTTTCTTGTTCGCTATAGAAAAAGCAGGAGAGGGAAAGAATACTCCCAGAGTATTTCTATTAAAGAAGCAAACTGAGGTATAAATGCTGCAAGGGGAAGGCACGGGGTCCATGAGAGCAAGTGATGGAGGAGACTGAGCTGCAGGGTGGTCGGGAGGCTTCCCTGAGAAGCTGGGAGCTGAGGGTCCGTAGGACCTAGGAGGAGAAGGCAGGACAAAGCCACTGCCCAGGAGAGGCCCTTGTGTCGTGAGCAGATGCCCAGGCCAGAGCATACTTGGGCCCTGAGCACCAAAGGATAGGTTTTTGTATTTAGCCAAGGTGCAGTGGAAAGTGGGGAGTAATTAAAAAGGTTAAAGAAGAGGGTTATATGACCAGATCTGTTTGTGAATGAGGTGGCAGTCTTAGGATTCAGTGTCGAGAATGGGCTGGAAAGGAGCCAGGAAGGTTGATAAGAAGCCACTTGGAAGCTTCAAAGTTGTTTAGATAAGAGATGATAGAGGTTGGATCCAGATCATATCACTGGAGATGGAGAGAAGTGGGTGGCTTCTAAAGATATTTAGGAAGGAAGTTAATGGGAGTGATAGATCAGATATGGGAGAATGATGGAAAGGGAGAGATCCAAGATGGTGCTTAGATTCCTGACTTGTCTAACCAGACAGTATATTCCTTTTTATTTCTGTAGCCATCAAGCCTCTCCAGCCTCACTCAATGTGTTCTGGAGCTAGTTTTGCTTCAGCTGTATCTATTTAGCTATTATCTCAGTGAATGACTCAACAAAGTTTTTTTTAATCAACAAACTTTGTGCCTGTGTTTGTGTGCTTGAGTAGGAGCAAACTCAGCCTGCACATTGGACTCACCTGGGGAGCATTGAAAGTCCTCATGCCTGCCCACTCACTCCATTGTGAGACATGGCCTGGCATCAGAATTTTTCAAAGCTCCCCAGATGATTCTAATGTACAGACAAGACTGAAGTCAGCCACAAGAAACATGTTTCTACACGCTTGTATGTGCATTTAAAGTATTTAATGAACAGTGTTTTGAATACATTTCTTCGTACAGGTTGATCTCAAATTATCTTGTATTTGTCCCAGTAAAAAACAACGATTACATACCTAGGGGAAATGGACTCCGCATCATTGGTGGGATTATAAAATGGTACTTTGAAAAACAGTTTGGCCGTTTCTTAACATGTTAAATATAAATTTACCTTATGAC